CTCTAGAATGCAATACTTTTGAACGCAGCGTGGAGAAAAAAATTGCTAAATCATATTATCCTTAATCTTCTGACAAGAAACATAACGCTCAACATATTTTCATTTCAAAACTTTATAACGCTATTAAATGAATAAAAATATTTCTCCCTTTTAACATTAATTTCACTCACGATTTCACTTAAATCAAATCAGTCATTACTGCATTATTTTCCTGTAAATATAAATTGTCTTAGCACAATTTTGCAGTATTTTATCGCGAATGGCAATATTCGAATAAAAGAATTTATGTTGCAAAGATATAAAGATTACCAAATATCCAATTTAATTATTTTTAAAATATTCTAAAGCATGCCCCAATTTTTCCACCTACTTGGGAAAATAAATTAAATTTTGAGATAATCTACAATTTTCATAAACACCTTTTTATACCTTAAGGAGGACCTTATCACGCTAACTCTGTACCTCACCACTCACAAACTCTTTTGTATCTTCCGCATTACCATAATTATGTGGAACAAGCAAACAGCTAGTGTTTAATTTCATCAAATTTGCCACAATACTAACAAAATTATCCTAACAACCACTGTACTTAATCGCCTAATAAACTAAACTTTATGTAAACCGCTGAAAGCATCCTTATATAAATAACAAAATATGTACTTAGGCATTTATTTGTAAAAATTTCATTTCATGCAGACCTAAATAAATAAAATCAACTCACTTATTGGGAATTTGATAAAAGATATTGACATTTTCTAGGTGCTCGCATTTTTTTAAAGCGGCTGAGCTTTCGGTTGAGCGGAAAGTCTTTTACATTGTTTATTTTCTTATTTGGACCCCAGCATTGGCCCTTGTTTCTATAATATGGTTTTATTCTCTTTGAATGACAATATGGGATCCATATTGAAATCGAAATGGACTTTAAAAACAAGAAAACATATCCTATTTACAAAGATATGAAAATATCTCGTATATCTATTGTATCGTATCAACAGTAGTAACATAAACAAAAGTAAACAAATGATGTAGACGTGTCAAACAATGTTCCGTCTCGGGGCTTTCCAACTAAGGAACACGCGTGGCCACAGATGTGCCTCACTCATTCCGAACTTTGACTTTTCTAAATCAGTTCTTGGTTTGAAGCGTGACGTTCGATTTCATATGTCAAGATTACAAAACTCTAGGTCGGCCCAAGTAACTCGCCTTCATAAAATGTACCAACTGGTAACAAAAACAAAACTTCGAAATTTAATCAAGACTTTTAAGTGTGGTATAATCAAAACTATTAAGTATAAAATTATTTTAATAATAAACAATACTTTTTGCAAATAGTTCACTGAACTTACGACTACTGTTATAATAAAATACCGTGACACTAAAAAATCGAGTGTCGTCATAATTAAGAAATAAAAATAAACGGCTTATAAGAAAGTCTGGAATGGAGCAACCTCTACAAAAGCTCTGGAAAATCCCTGGTAAATCATTTCAATGTAGAAATTCGTGTACGGTGGTTAAATTCAAATCTGAAGTAGAATAATAATCGGCAGGGAAGAACTCTGAAGTGGAAAATGCAGCTCTCCAGATAGAAAATAGAAAAAATGTACAATAATTTTTATTTTTCTCGGTTTCCCAGAGAAAAATCTTTCAACAAGAAAGGCTGCAATAACAAATGAGTGTAATTATGACAACCGAACTCATTAGTTATTTTTTAAACATTAATTGACTTAAATAACCCAACACAAATCATATTAAATACATAAAATAATAAATGTAAATAATTGATACAGGCTGCGCCGGAACTCGCACCTCAGAGAAAAATGCCATATAAAATACGATACCAAGAACATGGAAAAAATTTTATTTATAAAAATTTAAAATTATGAGAGTTTATATTTTGCACTTTCTCTATTTATTTCTGTTGGAAAAATAATTTTCCAAGTTTTTTTGATGTAAGCTTTTAGAAGAGGAAACAAGGAAGCTGTATCCTATATTGTAACTGTGTTTAATCTTATTTGTGGCTTTTATTAGCAAAATTTTCATACCGTTACTAAATAATTATAAAAAAACATATACAAGATCATGAGTATTATTAAATATACATAAAAAATGTTAAAATTTTTTGACAGATAGAATTTTTTAAACATTTTTTATATGTTCCTAGTATCTCATCTTACTTGAAATTTTTTTTCTGGGGCGCGAGTTCTATCTCACCCTGTATACTCAACAGACCAAATCTCAACTTCATTTTGTCATTTAATTTTTTTTTTAATTTTTACGCAATTAAAAATTTTTGTATTATAGTATTGGCAACGCCATATCATAGGGTTATAATGTTAATTGATTTAAGTTCAACTAGCACTGAACGCGTATTTAACTAAATTAATTACCGCTCACTAAAATGCAATTTCAGTTTGAATACTTTAGTGACACATTGGATTAAGTTGAAGTCACCATTTATACATCATTTCTTCACAAAATAAGAAATATAAGAATTATCTTAGTTCATACTTATAATATTAAAAATGCTAATACGAGACCTAACATTTTGTAAAAAAATATTTTTTTCTTACTATAAAATAACAAATACAAAAGAAGACAAATAAAAACTAAATTCTGCAAAAATGTACCCCGTCAATGAGAAGAACACGCTGTAAGCAGAGACGGATCTTGAGAATTTTTTAAGAGAGGCAGGATTAATTTTCGGACCCTTGTTTTTCAAAAAGTGTATTTCATGTCAGAATAAAAATTTTACAATAATTTGTAATTAGTAAACAAAGAACTAATGAGAATACTTTTCGTGCTTTTGTTTCTGCAAACTTATCTATAATTCCGAGGAGATTTATTTTTCCGACAATTTCATTTTTGATGCTTAAGATTGCTAAACCAAAAAGTCTGTCTTGAACCATGTTTAATCACTAATCATGAATAATTTTTAATGTAGAAAAACTGCGTTCACAATTCGCTGAAGTAGTTGGTAAAGTTAAATATAATTGCAATACTACTTAAAATATTGTGAAAAACAGATGTAAGATCAAACTGAATAATTTGCTCAATTAAATTTCTTGGATCCATTTTAGTAATTTTTCCAAATAATGCCGAAGTTTGATGTTTAAACGAAAAAACTTTATTGCAAAATTCAACTGCATTTATACTTGTGTAGAAAGAATGAGTTAATCTTTTGACTTCGTTTATGTGCTTGTCGACCCAATGGCCCAAACCAATTTTTTTGATATACAAATTTCAGCTGATTACAATATCCTTATAGGATAAGGAAAGTAAAAAATCAAAGTTGGATCTTCGAGTAGGTATGTACACTAAACTTTGTATTTTCATCATCTTGAACTACATACGATGAACGAAAGAAAATAAATAAATTGGTTTTGCCTAAGACAAGCCATTTTAATAACGTAGTAATTAAGCCTTTCTAAGAAATCTGTACTTTTCAAATCACATCACTTTAAACAATTTCGCTAAAATTCATTTGCAAACAACTACTTATCCGAATGGAAGGATTATATCCGTACCAGGTAAATAAAAAGTATGGAACCAAACGGTTTTTACGTTTCCAAAAACAGCTGTTTTAGAGACTTATTTGAGTCCCTAAAATGAGTCTTTTCCGGACTCAATAAAATAGTACGCAAAATGGTTACTTTAAGTACTTAGTCCCCAAAACAGTTTTTCCGGACTAAAAAATTAAATTGGTTACTATGGTGTTAATTAACAAGAGGTGTAAATTCGTGTTTTGGAAACTTTAACACAAAAATATTGTTTGTACCTAAAACGTTTTTGCGGACTCATCTGCTATTCCGAAACAGTAACGATTCGTCCTCAAAAACTGTGTTTTAAGTACTTGTAACAAAAATAACTATTTTCTTGTGAAAGTTATGTTCTAAGTATTACAACTACATATCTACTTTTTATTAATTAAAAAAAATACATAAATTGCCATTTTGACAAAAAAATTCGCATAACTCAAAGCAAAACAAAATTTCGTTTCCAAAGTACGATCATAATTTTTACATTACTTTATTTTATATTAAATTTTATTTTCTAGAGGCAAATAATTAAAAAACGTTCCAAACTTTATATTCACCCTGTATAAAACGAATTTAAAATGGAAACACTCAGCAGGATACTAATTCTTTGAGTCCGGCTTTAACATATTTTGTAATTGGCTTATTTTAATGAAAAAACATTAGATATGTATAGCCGAGTCTTAGTTATAACACATGCAGATATGTGGATTTGACTTTTTGACTGACAATCAATTTATGTGACGAATATTTTTCAGAATATCTTAATTTGTTATACGAGTACAATTTTTATGTTGTGATTTTGATAAAATTTATTGAAAGCAATCGAAAAGTCAACCCACTTATTTCTGAGTCTGCTTCATAGATGATGTTGATGTCATTTGGTGTTTATTTTAGGTCTATATATTGTCGTTATCGCATTAAACCAGTAATATAATTCATATAAACAATGGAAATACTTAGAAATCGCCTTTGATGCTATCAAGTAATGCTAGCTGCAACTTGACAACAAATTTGAGAAAATAGTTTGGCGCTCCAGTAGTTTCGGGCCCGGGCACACCTGAGACCGAGCCCGAGGCAGGTGCCCCTCATAAGCCCTACCCCCTTAAATCCGTCCCTGGCTGTATGAATAACAAAATATTTACTACACGATTTAAAATGATTCAGATATAAATCACAGTCCGTGATAAGTAAAACAGCCAATTTTTTAACTAAAAAAAAGTTAGCCTATTTTTTGTATTGCTACTGAAGTAATGAATAATGTGTTATGATCCTTGTAGTCACAGCAATACAAAAAATGGTAGAAAAATGTTTTTTATCTTGAGCAAGTAATCAAATCACGTCGTGGTGATACGAGTTTCCTAATTTTCACTATAATCTGATGTCTTATAACATGACTACATTATAACTCTTTTTAATAATTTTTTTCAGAAAAAAAGAACAAATGATCAAACTCAAATTATTTAAGAACTTTTATATCCAAATGCAAATACAACGAATGAAATACCTAAACTACCTACATTGAAAAAACTAGACTAAGTATTAGTTGTTATATAAGAAATATCATACGGTATGCGAACACTAAGCGCAAACAAATGAAACCGTAAATAAAAAATCAAACGAGTAAACATTAAAAGTATTTACCTAAAGGTTTAGGAACAATATTATTTGCATCATTCATTCCTTTTCAATTCGAATAGTCCCATCTTCATTTAATGGGTGGAAATACAGAACGATAGTATCAGAATCACTGGTCGCTCTTGATCTTTGGGGAGTGCTCTCGTAGAAATCATCCCCGTAGTCGAATGAATAATCACATTCAAGATCATCCCAAAAATTTGGAGGAATAATATAATCAATTTCTTCATCACCAACTCCTTCAATATCCACTCCATCTATTAGCGGTATTTCTTGTCTTTCTGGTAAGGGCATTATTAAATCAATAGACTCTTCTGAAGCAGTGGTTGACAATTCTAAATCAGTGTCAGTTGCGTACAATTCAGATTCTAAATCAGCTGTTAGTTCTAAATTATCTTGAGGGGCAACGTTACTGCAGGAAAAATCATTGTTAGATGTTGAAGCATTTCCACCAGCAGAGTTCTCCTGGTTTGTATACTTCTTATAAAAATAGTACCCCAGAGCTCCACAACCCATTAGCAGGGCGCTGCGAGATACTCCTAGAAGAAAAAGTATTCAAATAAAGAGTTCTAGAAAAACTAATTTCGACCTCAAACTTTCTAAAACCAAAACGGACGAATAAAAAAGATACTTATTTTGTATGAATGTGTAATAATTTTTAACCAATGTCGTACAGACATTTACAGAAATTAGCACTTTTCGATTCAGATAGCTGGAGCTTATGGTGACAAGATAAACAAAGTAAAGTTGATTTAAGGCAAAACTTTCTATTTATCGCAATTTGAATAAAAAAAATTAATACTTCAATGGAAAAAACAAATATTTAGCGGTTTATCTATATATGCATTTATTAGTTGATATATCAATTTCAGTGTTTATAAATTTTCTAGCTATCAATACGTGGAAAGCTTCCATTTAAATCTTATGTAATTTCAAACAAATATGCAAGTGCAAATCACACCCCCACAACAATCTGAAATCACAAAATGTTGATGCCTAAAAGCATCCCCTTCGACCCTGCTTTAAATATTTGTTTGTAGAAGTAGTGTGTTGTAGCTATGAATTTTGAAGTAGCAAAAAGAATGTAAAAATGTTGTTTACTTACTGGAAGCCATTGATCCTGCTGAGAAAATCATTTTGTTCTCACTTTAATGAAAAGCACGTGGCATAGGTTAGATTAAAATTGCAAAACTATATTTTACTTACCCCTATTCTTCTTCTAACACTGACCGAGACAATGAAATTACACTCGGGAACGTTGTTTTACGCGGATTTTCTCAAAAATTATACTTTTTCTTGACTTTTCAAGAAAAAGCTGGTGGTGAAATTGGAATGACCGTTTTTAGAATTGGAAATAAATCTAGTATCAAACTACACTGGTAGAAGAGTATTATGTGGTAGTAAGTTTAGTAAAAAAGCAAGTAGGGGAGACCTGCGCACTACGAGATTATAATTATAATTATGATAATAATTACATTCACCTACAAAATTGCCACTTATTTAAATACAAATAATTAAGCAATAATGCGATAGTTTTAAATTATTAAGTTCAAATTTAATTTACTTTTAAAATAAGCGAATAAAAACAGACCAATCAAAGCATCGGAATGACGCGCGTATCTTAAAATAAAAACTGTCAACTATTTTATTTTAATAAATTAGCTAACGTCTAATAAATATTTGTAAAACGGGAAAGTAAGTAAGGTTTATTCCAAATTCTCTCCTAGGGTCTATGAAGCTAATACATTGCAGTTCATTCTTTTAATTCTTTGAAAAAATCTGCATTTATAATGATTCGTCTCTCTAGATAAATACTATATTTACTATAACACTTGATCCCATTCAAAAAAAGAATTGTGAAATAGGTAGAAAGGTACCCCGCCCTTACCTGAAAAACTAGGGATTGCGGACCGAGTTTTCTTAGAACGCTGTAACCTGTAACCCCCTCAGCGGTAGCACCGCATCCTAATGGGTGATCACTTAGTATTACTCGTTGGGAGTAATAATAATTGGAGTAATAATAGTAATTTCTCCTTCCACGCTAGTACCACTTATTTTAAATAAACGTTTATTTTAAATGCACAGTCCTGCATGTATGTAAAAACGAGATGTTTATATTTAATGTTTTGGAAATATTATATGTTGAAAATAAATTAATTTTTACAAGGCAGAATTAATAAAGTAGTTTTTTCGTCAGAAGTAGACACTTATGAGATATTGATTTTTTATATACCTAGAAAAACCATTCAAAACCATTCTCATAAATGTTCAAGATAAGATTTTTTTGTTAGTGTGTTAGTTTTTTTTGTTTTTTTTATAGGCGCTTTTTCTTATCCACATCTAATAAAGTTTCTTATTTAAATTATTTAATGGTCCAGTCAATTACTGAAAAATTCTTTTAAACATTTTGAGCTAATCAGAAGAAAAATTATGACACCGTTTTGGTTTTTGCTATTTTGAAATAGTCTTGACCTAAAATATTGAGATAGTAGTGCTTACTTTTTCAAAATGCTCAGGAGAAAATTGTCACAGATACTTGACCTGAAGTCCCAAACCCTATTTGTCTAAGAGGTTGGGGGAACTCCTTTACAGTGGAAATGCACCATTACGAATAAGCAAAACTCATAAAGTTGCAAAATGCTAAAAAAGTGGCAATGAGATTGACACAAAATAGAAAAATAGACTAAAAACGGTGGTTAAATCCTATTGGATTTGCAAATGTTTTGTCAAAATTATTGGAGACTCACACATAGACAAATAGATAGAACTAAATACAAAAAAGTCAACTGGAGATTGGAGATATCGAACAGACCACGGTTGGTTCAGTAAGACAAATAATGAAAGAAAAAGAAGAGAGGCAGAAGTACAGGGTATAGTTAGAAGTTAGAACGGTTAAGAACTATAAAAAGTAACAAGAATTACCTGAAGTAATAAGACTACATAGGTTTTCTTTTTCTGTTACGTAAGTTGGTGCAGCGGTAAGTTATAAAATTTTAGTTGTTATTAAATCCAAAAGATT